ATTATCTGTCAATGAATTTTAAGTGGTTAATTATCTCTATCTCCTTTCCTTCCCCATATCCCCTCCCCCAAAATAAAAAGTATCACACCTTCAGTTTTAATAAAACCAGAAAGATAAGGGTAATTTTTGCAGGCTTCTAGTTTTCACCAGTAACTCAACTGGGTACCTGTGCATTTCATTATAAGGCAAAGATTAGAAAGGGCAGAAATGCTAGATAGACCAGGCTATTCCCTACTGCCCTTTGTTACATGAAGTTGGAAAGGTGTCATGTCTCTTTTTTTAGGTTGCACCCAATGCAAATACAACCTTTTCCTTCTCTCCATTATTTCTACCTCCTTTCTGTTCCAAGAAGAAGGAAGCTCTCTTTCTTTTACCATAGTCCTAGCATACCAAATTTGACCAACATAAATAATTTCATTGTGGGATAATTCCTTACAACACCTGAGTTATCAAAATATCCAAACCTTCTTTAGTTTCTTTTTCTTTTCCATTGGCTCTAGTAAGTAGAGCTTCTCGTTGTTCAGGGCACGTCTAGAAATAATCACTGGTTCCTCTTTTGTTCACTCTCCACATTCACTCTATTTCCAAGTCAGATGAGTTCTACACTGAAATAGGCCTCACCCACTTCTTTCCCTGAGGCTGTTAGATTGAGTCCCTTCCTTTAGCATATAGACTTCTGCAACCAATTTTTTAACTTCACTCTTTCCATCCTTGTTCTCTTTAGCCATTCTTCAAAAACAGCATGAGTAAATTTCTAAAGCTTACACGAAGGTACTATGTACACTTAAACACTTTTTTAAGGAGAATAAAATCTAATCCCTTTACCAGGGCATATTAGCGCCTGTGAATTCTGCCTACACTTCTGACATGTTTCTCCTGATCTCTCAATTGTCTAACTTTTGACTAGCCATTTTAGCTGTTGTTTTGTTCTGGGAACAAACACATACCACAGGACCTCGTAAATTGCTGTTCCTTCTGTTTTTAATTGTCTTTCTTTCTAGGTTATCATTCATGTTACCTACTCATGTGTGTTTTCTGAGAGTCTTGCTAAAGATACACATTCATTCTCTCCCTAATTACTATCATTATTCTACTACATGTCCTTCAAGGAGTTTAAAAGTCTGCACTTACCTTATTTAATCTGTAATATAGATGTTTATTGTTTTCCCCACAGGAATACAGGCTCTTTTAGGAAAAACAGGATATTCTTTCCCCCTTGTTGCAAACTCAGGGCATTGTATTTACTCAATTGTGTGACAAAATGGAATACAATGTAGAACTTGCATATTGACTGAGATAAAAAAAGATAAAGAGAGTTCTGTGACATAAACTGAGTTGTTTTAACTGATAAAATATTTTCTATAGAACAGGAGCATAAAAGCAGAAGTTTGGTGTAGTTTTTTTATTATTTAATCTTTCTGTATTTGCCTTTTAAAACTCCTTTTGAGGATCATGGGTCAAAGCTGTCTACAGCACCTGAATTTCTTCGTCTCAGATGAAGAGATGAAAGTGCTCTATGTGTGTGATTTGCTTTCTCTTATAAGAAAATCTACATTAACTATTTAACCTAGATGATGACAGAGTGATTCTACTTATGTCCAAGGGAAAATTTAATATAAATGGATCGTAAGCTGGTCTTCTTTGCAATATAATATGTTTATAACATTAAACAACTTTAAATCTTTGTCTTAAATTTCTGTTCTTATAATAATTGTGTATTTTAATAATTGTATTTAAAAATTTCTTGAAACCATAATCTTTTATAAATGCCATCTTTAAGCTTTTCCTAGGGAGCTCTGGTGACTTAGTGGATAGGGAGATGCACCACCATTGCAAAGTTAGGTGGTTCAAATCCACCAACTGCTCTGTGCCATCAAGGAATAAAGTCTCATCCTGGGTGACTTAAGCTTCTGAAACCTCCGTGGAGGGTCAGCAATGAGTTGGTTTTGACATGGCCACAGCGAACTGAGTTTGAGTTAATAAAGGGTGGCATAGCCCTGCTCCGCTGCTAACCCAAAGGCCACATCCCTCAGCAGTTCCTGGGGGGGGGGGAGGGCGTGACAGAGGGAAAAGGTAAGCAGTTTTCCTCTTTGTAGTTTATAGCCTCCAAAAACTTGCACTATAAGTTCAAGCTTCACTGTAAAAACAAAGAAAAAATAAGGCTCCAAGAATATATGGGATGCTGGTTGACATTTTTCAACTAACAGACGCAACCCTGGACATAATCAGTCTAGGACAGGAAATTTGGAGGACAGTTGACTGTCCAGCTTGTTGAAAGAGATCTATATTTGTTCGCATTCCTAATAAGGGTGATCCAACAGAACATGGAAATTATCAGACAATATCATTAATATCACATGAAAGTGAAAGATTGCTGAAGATCATTGAAAAACTACTGAAATAGTGAGTGCATTGACAGGGAACTTCCAGAAATTGAAGCTGGATTTAGAAGGGGTTATGGCACTAGAGATTTCATTGCTGATATTAGATGAATCCCAGCTGAAAAGAGAGAATATCAGAAAAAATGTCTATCTGTGTTTTTAATCGACATTGAAAGGCATTTTACTGTGTGGATCACAACAACTATTGATACCATTGAGAAAAATGGGAATTCCAGAACACTTAATCATGCATGCATAATCAAGAAGCTATTGTATGAAAAGAACAAGGAAACACTGTATAGTGAAAATCAAAAAAGGTTTGTCTCATGGGTGTATCTTTCCCCCATACATATTCAATCAAATAATTCATGAAGCTGGACTCTATGAAGAAGAGTGTGGCATCAGGATCAGAGGATGCCTTCCCAGAAGAACTCCAAAAGGCAGACTCAAAAGAACCCACACCTGCCTTGAAACCCAAATTTATCATAAAAGAGTCAAGATGAAAGCATTAATAGTTTGAGGGGAAAAATGACTTTGTTGTTAGCCCTCTCTCATTTGAGAATATACATTAATTTTTAATTATTATATTTAATATTCAATTAGTAGAAAGTATTACAGAGATACATGATCTTGCACTATTAATGGAATAATCCTGGTTAATTTCTTTACTACTTGACAAAGGGCCAGAAGACCAAGGCCCATTCCAGAACTCCGATTAATGTCAGACTCACAAGTGGACTCATCAATGAAAGCATCCATCTGCAAACACCTTATCAAATAAAAAAAGATGTTAATGCCTGCCTTGCCCTCTTGTCATAGAAGGACATGAACAAGGATAAGAAATTATTTCTAATTGTACAATTTGATTTGGGGGGGGAGAGAAATGGGAAAAATTCTGTATGAAAAACAATGTATTCAAATTTTGTGAATAAACTAGTATTTAAAAAAAAAAGAAGAAGGTACAACCTTGCCTGCTGGAAGCAAGAGGGTCCTCAAGCACTTGTTGCAGAAGGTCAAGGACTACAGACTTATGAAGACAAAAGCCCTTACCACAGAGCCAGTTGGAAAGATAGAAACAAGATTAAAACTGCTAATGAATTTTTCTTACTTGGATCTACAATGAAGTTCCTTGGTATAAACAGTCAGGAAATAAGGAGGCATATTACTTTGGGCAAGCCCACTGTCAGGGACCTCTCCAAATTACTGAAGAGAAATGATGTCAGTTTGGTGACTAAGATCTGCTTGATTCAGGCATGGTCTTTTCAGTCGTTTGCTGTGCATCTGAGAGCTGGACAGTTAATAAGGTTGATAGAAGAAGAATGTATACCTTTGAACTGATTTGTGATTCTGTAGAAGAGTACTGACCATGGACTACCAAAAGAATAAACAGATATGTCTTGGAATAGGGGAAGCCAGAGTGCTCTTTGGAGGCAGTGATGTCAAAGCTCTGCCTCTCATATTTTGGACATGTTGCTAGGAGTGGGTTTACCTTAGCAAAGGATATTACACTTGAAAAGGTGGGTCAATGAAAGAGAGGAAGACCCAGATTGAGATAGATTTACAAAGTAACTGTAGTAATGGGCTCACATGTATCAGAGATGGTGAGAATAACACAGGACAAGATAGGATTCAGATCTGTTGTTCTTAAGTTTAACATAGGTCTTACACAACTCAAGGCCACTTAACGACCACAAAAAAAATACCTGCTGGAGAGTGAGCTATGAGTGAGTTCCAACTGTACAACAATGGCTTTAACTTTATTACATTTAATGACTGAGACTTTGCTATTGCCCTTGGCAAAATGCATGACAGTAGGATCAACACTTTGAAAAAGAGCCCTTTTATGTAATAAGTGAGGTTCAAAATGCTACTCACCCTGAAAACTCAGTGACTTGATTGTGAGGCTAATTAAAAAGGTATAACACCCTCGCAGCATCCATCAAAATCTGGCTAGTGTCTAGTGCCATTTGGTGACAAATGTAGCCTTGGGGAAAACTGAAAGGTATAATAATTCTGGGTCTCGTGGCTGGCTGCAAGAGTGACAGCAATTCCAAGAATCACCCAGTTAGTGTATTTTCAAGGAAATTGGACAGAATAATACTGAGAAGGTGTGTGTCCACACTCCATATTTCTCTTTTTTACAAAAAGACTCTCTGCCTTCCTCACAATCTTCTCCATGGAAAAGAATATAATTTTTATCAACTCCTACTATATTGAAAATTCAGAGCTATTCTGAGTTGCATTACAGAGCACCTTGGCTAGAGGATTTTGCTATATTTTGATAACATGATAAACAAAACAGTGTGAAACAAAGTCATATGCAAATAAATATGGTTTTGATGGCACCATATATTGCCTCTATATTTCAGACTGTTTTCACAGCTCATTCTAATCTAGTCACTAATTGCTCCTGCTTCACCAAGCATTTACTGACAGAGATGGCCCTACCACATTTAGAAAAGAAATCAAATCTGCATTATGGAGTTAGCATCGTGGTATTTCTAGTTTCATGCATGGTGGATTCTTTATAGAGCTATATTTAATGCACTTCTAATTAAAAAGGGGAAGAGTGTCCAAAGTTTCTCAGTGTTTCCTTCTCCTTTGTTTTTGTTTGTGCAGCTCACCATGTTAAAACGGGAACTTGCGAGGTGGTGGCCCTCCACAGATGCTGTAATAAGAACAAGATAGAGGAGCGGTCACAAACTGTCAAGTGCTCCTGTTTCCCTGGACAGGTGGCAGGCACCACGCGAGCTGCTCCGTCCTGTGTGGATGGTGAGACTCCTTCCTTTGTTCGTCATGAGAGCATGCTGGGGCCTCATTGAAATACTGTCAACTAGATTCAATACTTGGCAACACAGTACAAAATAATGGGTTGAAAGAAAGCTATTTAGGAATTTTTATAAAATCTAAAGGTTTTTTGGAAGGGAGACAAAGGTCTCATGGAGTTTAGAACAATAGCCATAAAATGAGATTCTAGGAAATAAGTCTATTTCTTATTTGGGTTCCCTAAAATATTGATTTACTGGGAGTGTATACAAATGAACTGAGAAAGGAATGGGTAAAAATACATCACAATAGTATGTATTTTAAGACTTAATGGTTGGTTTTTAAGAGTGAAAATGCATCATAAAAGTAAATAAATATTATGGATAAATTCACATAAAACATGATGTTGAAAATACGGACCAATATTAGATTTTTTTTTAAACTTGACTTTTCCTCTAATTACAATAGGATATACTTCTTTTATGAGTGTATTTAATCACTGTTACTCTAAGTAACAGTTTGTTACATGCATGGTGAATTATAATGTAGATTTTGATATATACATAGGTACGTTCACACATCCAAGTAGACATAATGAAAAGAAATACATACAAAAAATAGTTTTAGGCAGAAAATGTAGAAAGATCTATTTCCTTTGGCTAAAAAGGGTATCTTAAAACTTAGTCTACTCAATGGTAAAAAAACCATGTGTGGCTTTTTTCCTCTTTGAATGTGCATCCAGAGAATTAGCAGGTTCAAGAAGAAAATGTTGGATTGATTTTTCTGTCTTCTGTAGCTTCAATTGTGGAACAGAAATGGTGGTGCCATATGCAACCATGTCTTGAGGGAGAGGAATGTAAAGTTCTTCCTGATCGGAAAGGATGGAGCTGTTCCTCTGGGAATAAAGTGAAAACAACAAGGGTAAGTGGACAACCAGCTTGGGAGAGTTAACTGCCTCAGAATGAAAAGAGCCTGGGCCATATGCAATTACATATTTAGAAAGTAGTTGTAGATTGGAAAGTGGATTGCTCTGTATGCCATATTTTCCCATAACTGTTTCATTTTCTCATGGCACATTTTTATTTCACTCAGAATAACATCTTGTATCGTTTGCCATCAACTGTCATTCTTTCTGGTAAATAAACTCTCTCTGTCCTATTATAGATACTGACAATAATGTAAAAACGTTCTGCAGGTACATGGTAAATGTTTAGAAGATGAGCCCAAATATTTAGGAAGATGATCCCAATCCCTGTTCTGATGTGTATTAAATGGAATAAATTCTGAAAAATCCTGAATTTCTTTTCTTTTTTTTTTAATTTTTTAAACAATTTTTAAGTGATGTACCAGAGTCTCACTAGGAATATATTGGCCAATATATATTGGCCCATGCTTTTAAAGACTACAGATGATAGAATACATAGCATGCCAGCCATGCCTCAGGAGATACTAATTGACTACTTTGAGAACCAAGACCATTCTCTCTTCCCTCCTAAATCAACACTTCGTTCCAACACATACTTCACTTCCTAGTTTTCCAGTCACTACTCAAATTAGTTATCCTTTCCTGTTTAATTACCACTCTGTATCATTTTCCTCTTCTTTTTATTTTTTTATTTTTTTAGTGATTTATTGAGCATTTATTATTCCTTATATAAATCTCATGATACAGCTGTTCTGAATTTCTGTTCTATGAAATTCTTAAACAAATCAATTAAGACCTTTCCAGTTTCATGATTGAAATTAATTTTATCTTCCTGATTTCTGGATCAAATATTTTTCCAATGGTTAAAGTTTGCAATCACAGTAATGGATCGTTCAGGGAAGCTTTAGAATGTCAGGGTCAGTGTTGTTGTTGTTATGTGCCGTCAAGTCTCTTGCCACTCATAGTTATCCTATGTACAACAGCTTTGGATCCTCCTCTATCCTGAGCCAACCTTACTGTCTCTGACACACCTACCTCCAGCACTCCAGTCACTAAGTCAATCCTTCTCATCAAGAGTCTTCCCCCACTCTGCAGTTTATCTACCCTTCCAAGCAAAATGTCCCTCTCCAACGAGTGGTCCCTCCTTGAAACATGCCCCAAGTATGTCAGATGGAGCATGTTGTTGTTGTTGTTATGTGCCGTCGAGTCGTTTGCAACTCATAGCGACCCTATGCACAACAGCCCTAAACCCTGCTCTATCCTGCGCCAACCGCACTGCCTCTGACACACCCATCCCGATTACCCCAGTCACCAAATCAATCCATCTCATAGAGGGTCTTCCCCTCCTGCGCTGTCCCTCAACCCTCCCAAGCATGATGTCCCTCTCCAAGGACCCGTTCCTCCTGGCAACATGTTCAAAGTATGTCAGACGAAGCCCCAGAATCCTTGCCTCCAAGGAGTAGCTTGGTTTAATCCTCTCCAAGATGAATCTGTTTTCCTGGCAGTCCATGGTACATTCAGTACTCTTCTTCAGCACCACAGCTCAAAGGCATCAACTCTCCTTCTGTCCTCTCTAGTCATTGTCCAACTCTCTGATGCATAACAAGCGATTTCAAAGAGCATGGCCTGTATCAGGCGCACCTTAGTCTCCAGAGAGACACCATTGCTCTTGAGTACTTTAGAGAGGTCCCTAATAGCAGACTTTCCCATTGCGATACACTTTTTGATTTCCTGACTGTTGGTGCCAAAAGTGTTGACTGTAGAGCCAAGCAAACTGAAGCTGTGAACAATCTCAATCTCTTCGCCATCCATCCTGATGCTGCCAATTGGTCCAGTGGTGAGAATCTTTGTCTTCTTGACATTGAGCCTCAGTCCATACTGAAGGCTGCAGTCCTTGACCCTTCGCAGCAAGTGCATGAGGTCCTCCTCAGTTTCAGCAGAGTTGTGTCATCTGCATAACACAGATTGTTAATAGATCTTCCACCAATCCTGATGCCACAATTCTCCTCATAGAGCCTAGCCTTTTGGATAATCTGCTCTGCATACATGTTGAAAAAGGTGTGGAGACAGGATGAATCCCTGGCGTACACCCTTCCCTATTTTTGAACCATGCAGTGTTACCCTGCTCTGTTCTGACTACTGCCTCTTGGCCCAAGTATAGGTTTCGCATTAGCACAATTAAATGTTCAGATGGAGCATAGAAAAAGAATATTCTCCAATAGTGATGTATTTCAGTTTTGCATTGACTGATCTTTGTGGAGTGGGGGAGAAAGGAAAATTAATTAACTTTATCCTTTGAGTTTCTGATTAGCTAAAATTTCTATTTTAGGTTAGCAAACTTTGATTTTTATTTTTTTTTTTTAAGAATTGGAAATTTAAGGGTATGGGCATGTATGTATGTGTGTGTGTTTGTAGTCCTGAGGTGGAAGCACACTATTGACTACTGATTAGAGCTGGATAACTTGCAAATAGCATACAATATTGATAGGAGATGTTTTCTGAAAAGGAACTAAAACTAGAGATGTTAATTTCCAATACTGATTGATGATAGTAATTAATTTCTTTCTTATGGGCATATTTTTCATCAAAATATATAATTGATTGTTAACAATGTTAACGTTACCATACTGAGTGACGACACATTCACAGACCTGGCCAACTCTCAAATAGCATAGAAAGTAACATTACAGTTTGAGTATTCTTAACTCCAGTGTGTTGACTCAATGTTGGTAACCATCTCAAAAATTCATGGAGTACATTATTAGAATTATTATATTATTCAGTGAGCTAGCACATGATGTATAAATGTTGACTTGTTAACAGTACTCTAAAAATGTAAAATTTTATTGTTTTATCTAAGAGGTACAGCAGCCTTGTGCCATTGGGGTGTCAAATGCCATAACAGTTACCCAGGATGGAGAGGGTTTGGTGGAGCTCCCAATTTAATATAGGTTTGAAAGCAAGAGTGGCATCTGCTTCCTAAACAACAAGCCCCTGAAAACTCTATAAACTTTGATAAATGACGGTAGTTATAGAAGCATTTTGAGCCTTTTGTTCATAGGGTCACTATGAGTCGTGCTTGACTCAACGGCAGTCAACAACAGCAACAATTTTTTAATAACACTGTTGTCAATCTAACATTGCACTGGTAGAAATTAATTCAAGGTCTGAGATTCTGAAATAATTTTTAAAAAACCTACAACAATCCTTGAGCTTTCTATATATAAATTCTGTTTTAATATGCTTTAATGGATATGGGAAAGCTATTATTTATTGGACATTTAAAACATATGCCATTTACTCAGCAAAGTGCTTTACACGAATTAGCTCATTTAATCCTCTTAATAGCCCTTTGAGGATGATAATATTATTATCTCCTTTTTACAGATGAGTAAACTGAAGCTTCACAAAGTTACCTGCTTTTCCAAGGTCATATCGCAAATTAATGAGGACGCCAGGGTTCAAACTACACACGCTTATTCCAGAAACTATTCTTTTAACCTCTACATGTTAATAAATTTATACTGGATAATTTAATTTCTTTTTACATACTAGAGATAAAAAAATTCTATAGTTCTGTTTTTATAAGGTGGACCTTTGAAAATATCTTTAACTTTCTGCATTACTGGAAGCAAAAAGTTAAGACCATATGATCTCAATCCTTATAGTAAATTGTTCTGAAAGTGGTTTTTCCCCCCCCTTGTTCTTCTTGGCCGTATTCTCAATGATCCAAGTTAAAACTGAGTCTCTGCTTCACAAATTTTTCATAATGTAATGAAACAAGATAAATGAGGAACTGAGGGCTCATGAGAGGAAAGACCGAACATAGATTTTACAGTTTATTTTAGTGATAAGAGTATCTTTCTTATATTTCCCTCATCACTTTTGCCTTGAAGAACAGATAATAATTAAAGATATTATTTAAGATGTTGAGAGAATTTATTGCGCTTGGATAATATTAATTTTGAGATCTTTCCCTACTCCGGGAACCAATGACTCTCATTTTGGGAAGAAAAGCCGTCAATTATGAGAAAGCAGTTCAAATGCAGAAGCTTTTTTGGGCAAAATCAAAGTAAATTCTCCTCCCCCTTTTTTTCCTTCATAAGGAGAGAGATTTCTAGTAAAATCGAGCTATCTTAGGTAATTTCAACTACATGAATATCCTGGCACTCCGATGGTTAGGAAAAAATATTTAGAGTTTGGCTCACAAAAACCAAGTTGGGTAAATGCCACTACGGTCATAAATGGAGCGGTGCTTCCAGAGTCATTAGGCGATAAATACTCTTCCATCTCTATTGAGCAGCAAAGAGAGTAGGAGTTAAAGAAAATGTTTGAAACAGCTGTGGGCACATGTCAGTTTGCCACTCTAGTGGACATGTTAGAAAGACATAGTTTCCAATGTTGTCCACTTACTAATCTTGAGTAACAAAGGACCAAGAAGTCATTGGAGTCCTGATTAGGCAGGATCCTACCTCAAATAGGAGAGTTCAGAGTGAAACGGGAATAGACTAAAAAATAACAGAAGAGTTGTTCTCAGCCAAATCCATTTGAATTTCAGATGTAAAATATGTTGGTCTTATGGGATTATTGCTGGAGGCAAAATGGGTCAAAAATGATTAAAATTTGCAATAATGTACACCCTTCTTTATAATTGCACATATCCAATCTGGAAAGCTCTCTTCAGCCGGGCGATAGAGATGGATAGCGAGCGCAAGCGCGAACGCGAGAGCGAGAGCAAGAGAGCGCGCATGCGCAGTCACCTGACACCAGAGGTAAAGATTTTTGGCCTCAGCCTAGACATGGGTGGTAGGTATACTTCCAGGGTTGACTACAGATCGGAAATCTCGGTGACATACTCCATTGTCTTCAGACATTGTTCTTCCTGCTGTAATTGTAGACTATGTTCTCTTTCAGTCTTGGTTCGAGATTCAGGAAGGTTTTCATTTATTCTGTCCCATGTTTCCATCCCAAAATATGAGCAAAAGGCATGGTATAG